AATCATTTTACACAACAAATTTTCTCCTTCAAAAGTGTCTCTGTGTTCATAAGGCATTGATGTGTTTTCACTGCTTTAAAGTACTTTGTTTGCTTGAGCAATTTCAATGGGTTAGTTAGCTTAAATGCTATTTAATCAGTATTTCTTTCACTTAAACTGAAGTTTTCAAGAAAGTTTTTTGCAACTTATATTATACTGAGATGCATAAATTGTCACATGTATTGTCTGTCCACACATTCACAGTTGCACAAACTACTTCCCATTTATGCCTGTACAGAAGTTAACTAAGGCAACCGCTTACTCAGAGAAATTTCTACGTATTTTTAGCTACCGTTGACTGCCATTTGAATTGGTAAAAATATAAAGATGAGACAGTGCTACGTGACAAGCAAATATTGCTGGCAGATCTGCGATACTGAGAACTCTCCTACTAGCAGTATTTTGCCACTCGACTGCTAACAAACATTATGGAGTTATTAGGTTTGGTTTTGCTCTAGGTCAACTAGACCTTCTCTACCCATGCATGATACCATCATACTTACTCTACAAAAGCCCTTACAGTTTAAAACAAATTTAACCTGATTGTTTCTGTATTTCTGAGCACAGCTCCTTTTTAACATTCAGAAGAACTCTCTCAGTTTTGCATCTCAATCAAACTTTCACACATCCAACCAGAAACATGAATCACACTTAGTGCTATTTCGGGGAACATGCACAGCTATAGTGGCAGGGGAAGTGTGCCATCCACCAGATCACACAAACACAGAGGTAATCACAAAGTAACACTAAAACCAGGTAATTTACTAAGTACAAATATGGTTTTTTTCTTTTTAAAAAACATGTACTGTTTGCTGTCAGGACATTTTTCACTTCTGTCCTGCGGACCAATGCTTGTTAGAACCTCAAAACATTTTCCGCTATAAAGGCCCTAATCTGCATTACAGGTATAACTTGAGAAATGCAACAAGTACTTTTCACCTGTAAGAAAAGGGTATTAATTTGATAATCTTCCTAAACTTACTGTTGAAGTATTGCCAACCCTAAGTGTTCAAAATACATAAAACAGGACCTACAAAGAATTACAATTTCAAAAGCACTGCAGTTTTGAAATCAAGTGGAAGTGCATTTACGTATTTTTACTTCTCCTTCAGCTGCATTTAGGGTTTTCCTGCTTCATGTTTCATACTTCATTGCACAACTGAAAACCCCTCAACTTTGAAGTATTTTTAACTTAGAGTTTAGATAATCATAAAATTCACTGATTCCAAGAGTTGGACCTTTGTAAAGAACAGCAAGTTATGACAAAATTACAATAATTACAGATAACATTTTTCAAAGCGTTTAATCAATTTGAGTATTTACAGCATTGTTTTTGTAACCCATTTTTCCTTCCGTTTTATCTCCTGAGTAGTGCCATAAAGTTGAAATGAGGAAGGTGCACAATGTGTCAGGAGGAAAGTGTCCCAAGTAATTGAAATAAACAACCAGCATTAGTATTATTTAAGCCACGCCTGCTGGGGTAGTCAAGTTCCACTAACTGTAGTGGAAATACTGTACAAGTGTACAGAAGTAGCTTGTAATACTGTACATCTGCTTTCCCACCTTTGCTGTACTGTTGAGCATTTAATTTCATGCTTAAGACCTCTAATTTATGATTTAATCCTGTTCCATTTAAGACTAGCCACTTACAGTCTATACAAAGCAGCAGCCTCTTTAAAAAACCCTGCACACTAAAAGGTATAAATAATTTTAAAGTATTATTCAGTAAGAATGGGCAGGACTAATACCTTGCTGAGTAAATACCCCTTGTTGAAGTGTACATTTGTCACAGCAAGCTATGCAGTTAGAAGTCTTTAGCCTAACATATGCAGTTAACTGCAACACTTCAACATTTTTTATTAAAAATGGTTGAGATGAATGTCACTAAAATTTGCCACTGGGTTTTTGACCCTTCTTCCTCTACCAGATGCTCATCCTGTAATTCTTGTGTTTATCTGCAGATTGCACCTATATTACATGCTACTGTCTGCAGATTTAAGAGTGAATTTACTGTCTTCACTAGTCCATCTAACAGGCTGTATTTTCTAAACACATATATATACAAAGGCACATACACACAAACAGATAAAATACACTAACTTCAGTTTCTAAGGATTTACAGTTTAGTGTTTAATGCAAGTAGCATACAGCCAGTGATACTAGTTACTCTAAATCAAAACATAATGTTGACACAATTCAAGAGGAGCAGAAGCAGAAATGAAAAAGGAAATGAACAAGAATACTTCACAAACCAGAAAGCAAATGCAGAGTTAGTGGCACACTGACAAGAGCAACTGTGGCCTGCTCTCTGGATATCTACAGTTCAGCAGATAGGTAATAAACACAAAAATTAATACTAAAGATTCAAGAACAAAGTTTGAAATTGCAACACAGCTATTAGAACATTAGAACACAAGATTCACTTGGCACAGTTATACCAAAAAAAAAAAAAAAAAGCAAACAACAGAGACACAAAATCCACAAACAAGCAACAAAAAAAAAAACCACCCAGCACCCAACTACTACTGTATAGTGACAATTCAGCTACTGGACCTGCACTGCCTGTCTGCAAGAATGTTCATTCCACACATAACATTTACACACTGAAATTCATTGCATATGATAACTTTTATAAGCAATTATATAATAGCACAGGTTTTATTTCACAATTTAAATAAATTCGAGTTGCATTGACAGGTACTATAGATCAATAAAAAGATTCTATTTTTCTAAATAGCTAGATTTTGTTCCCTTTTGCCCTTTGACTCTTTAATATGCAACAAGAAGTATTTCATAATTCTTAAATATCACTGTAATGAGTACGTTTAAAAATCATCACTTCCACCATAAATTGGGCACCACCTTTATTTAATACCACTAAAATGCATGCATAGTAAGACAGATAGATCAGAAAAAAAAATGAATTTACAAGCCCTTTTTCTATCTCAAACAGGAGGGGAGCCCCCACCAATATAAAAACAACAAACCCGGTGGTGTAATACTACTATAAGCCTCAAAACCTGGCCATAAGGAATCTCCAATTATTTTAGCTGTAAGCCGAACACCCAAGCTACAAGAACCAAGACATCGTTAACGTAAAATAGTTGTTATTACGAAGACGGCATCACAAGATCAGAGCCCAATTCAGACATTTTGTACCTTGCTGCTGGGTAGTGTTACTGGAAGCATCAGCCTAATAGCCGGTTTATTCATAAGGCACGCACTAAAATGAAACAAACAGTAATTAACTGCTGACAGTGACCTAGTTAGCTACACAAGGAGCTAGATCTTCCTGTCACTCATTACAGGTTCGCCGGAATCCGACAGGAACGGTCCCGTCCGCCTGGGATGCGCGGGCGGCCGAGAGCGGGGAGCAGCGCCTCCCGCCCAGGCAGCCCCAGGCTCCCGCGCCCGCCGCGGCCCCCCGGGCCCTGCGCCGCCGGCTGCTCCCCCAGCCTCCTGCCTCCGAAGCCCTCAGGTCCCCGCGGGCAGGGCCCCGCCGAGCGGCGGAGCCGGCGTGGGCAACGCCAAGACCGCCTGCCTTCGGGTTCCCCTCCCCCGCTCCGGCAGCTCCGCACTGGGATAACGCAGCCTCTGACTCGCTCGCTGCTCGCGTCCCCCTTCACCTCCCTCTTCTCCCTCCCCCAACGCGCACACTTGATAGAAAGTCTCCTCTCGGCGGCGGGAGGGCGGTGAAATCCTTCGCTCTCCTCCCTCCGTTCTCTGTAACGCGAACGAGCCGCCGCCTTCTGTTCCTCAGCCTTGGCCAAGTCGGCGTTTTGTTGACAAGGCTCTGCCGGGCACAAAATGGGGCTGCCGCTTCCATGGGCGCCGCCATTTTGTGAGGAGCCGCCTCGCTAAGCCGGAGCCGCAGCCTCAGTAGCGGCGGCCCCCGGCAGCCCAGGCGCGCCGGAGCGGCGGCCGGGGTCTGTGTAATGGTTGAATAAAGTGACCCCGTCTAGGGAATCCCCAGCTGACAGTTACGTAAGGGACCGTGCGCAATTGCTGCGCTTAGCATGGAAACCCACCTAGCCCTGCTACGCAATTTGCCTATCCTCCCCTCTGCCTCCCACTCCCCTTCACACAGCACCCGGGCGAGAAAAGGGACTCACCTCCGCCGACCGCCCCTCGCGGAGGGAGGGAGACCCCCCTGCTCTGAAGGAATTTTTAGGGCATGATTAAAAACCACCGCCCTCCTGCGAAGGTTTAAGTCTGTGTAGGTATACGTGTGTGTGTGTGTGTCTGAAAGAGCGATTTACCCCCTCAATCGCATGTTTAAAACCTTTCTCGTTGATATTATCCTGGCTTTGGGAGTCTGACACATACTCTTGCTGAAATAGCAGAAACTCAAGAGTGTCACGGACAGGAGCTGCAGACCAGGGTCTACTGCAGGTCTAATTTTTAGGGGGAGGGGGGCCTCTTAATGCTACAGTGAGTAAGACACTCTGCATTTTCTTACACTGGAATCTGCACACGACCACTCTATCCACACACAGAGAACAACTTTGAACACAGAGTGTTAATAGGAAACCGGGGGATTGTTCTTCCTTGTCCTCCCCCTTCCCCCAAAGTGTGAACCCAGGGCAAATCTTTCCAAGCATCTTACTAAATCTCATGCCTTTATGGCTATATTCAAGCTGAAACAGCATTCGAGTCAGAATAATTTTTCTTTTTGAGAAAAATTATTTTTGAACTTAGTACATGGAGTAGAAATCACAGTTTTTCTTCAAGTACTCACTTGGGGCCATAACGTGCCATTGATTTTAAAACACAGCTCCTTGCTGACTTTAATGAGGAGTCCAAGTTAAAAAAAAAAATAACACAACCCAACTCTAAAGGCCTGATGTGGCCTTGGACTTCAGCTATCGGTTGTGAGGGGCAAATATTCCTCCAGAGCCTCTTGAACCAGAGCAGGCGCTCATCTGCAGCTGTCTGTGTGCCAGGGAAGGGCAAATGCCCACCTGGGTCACCATGAGCTTTGCCTGAGGAGCAAAGGTTCACCAGAAGTTGCCATTCACTGCTCGGGCCTTTCTCCTGTTTACCCCAAGCAGCACTGGTCTCCCTCATGGTTGTCGTGCAGGTCTTCTCCCGGGCTTCCCTGGGTGGAAAACATGTCAGGAGATGAATGTTTACAAACACTGCACACACCACAGGCATAGGGGAAAGCAGCCTGCAGTGTCCCTCCAGAGTGAGGGGCCAAGGCCTTTCTCCTCCATTGAGTTCATACTGTATGTCCTATTTATCAATATACAGGAACATATAGGTGGCTTATACTGTGTACAGCAGTCCTAAAGCTCCTTGATTACAGGCCACAGGATCTCTGAGGGAACGAAGGGAAATAAACATTTATGGAGGGATCCAGAGCGCAGGCCGCTGCTGGCAGACCTCTCCAGGCCCCCCTTGCCGGGGAAAGAGCTCGCCATTCTCCTCTGGGGAGGTTTCAACACCTCCCGTCCCGAAACGAGGAGTTCCCGCGGCCCCTCCGGCCCAGCAGGAGGCCCCGCCGTGCCATCCGGGGCGACTTCCTGCCCTTGGAAACACCTCAGGCCCGGGCACTCGGAAAGTTTTCCCAAACTCCAAATCCACCAGTGCCCCCTTCAGTTGTTGTTTTCTCTCCCCTTGAACTCAGGGCGTGGGGCTTAGTCCAATTAAAAATTTCGGCCCCGCTTTCCAAATCCACCTTTCCTGCCCTCCCCCCTACGGCTTCCCCCCCCCCCCCCCCCCCCCCCCCACCGCCGCCAGCCAACGGAGAGAGGCTGATCGGCGCGAGCCTGGCGAGGGAGGGCCCTTTCCCCGGCCCCGAGCCCCGGAACAACCGGTAGTAGTCGTTTTTTTCCTCCCCTCTTCTCCTTCTCCCTCGCCTCTTTCCGCCCGGCTTTGTGTGAAGTTTGCGGCACATTGCAGATGAGCCCTTAGCGGCGAGAGGAGCCTATTGTTCCCCGCCAGGAACTGCTTGCTGGGGCTGCGCTGGCTTTTGCCTTTAGAGCTGCCTTGTGCAGTACCGGGAGCGGCCTCCGGGGTCCGCTGTGTTGCGCTCTCGTCCAGGCAGAAGCACGGCGGCCTCAGATCTTTTTGTCTGAGAGAGAAGAGAAGTGAATCCCGCTGCCGCCGCCACCGCCGCCGCCGCCGCTGCCGTAGCTGTACAGTGTGTGTGTGAGAGAGAGCGAGCGAGGGAGCGAGCGAGCGAGGGAGGGAGAGGGAGATCGCATGGAGCCGCGGCTGTAACACACACACACTGTCAATACCTCACTCCGGCTCCCCCCCCCACCCCACCACAACAGTAACCCAATTCATTGTGTGATCCAGCAGCACCATGTTGAGTCTCATGTGCAGGCTGGATCGGTTGGGTTTGTGGTGCTGAGAGAGGCAGCAGCAGCGGGAGGAGGAATTACTGAGAGGTGCCCCTCTCCCTCCCTGCCTCTTTGCCTGTGTGTTGTGTGGAGACAGGACTCGCAATTACCACACTCTCTGGGCTCCCTTATTCCTTTTAAACTTTTTTTTAACCAAGCCCCTCTCCATGGCTGATCCCCGGCCGAGCACGGGCACCTGGGTCTCTTAAAGACAAGGAGGAGCCGCGGATTGTTGTTGTTGTCGGCCGTTTTTTTTTTTTTTTTTTTTAAATTGGATTTTATTTTTTTTTTTTACGAGAACCTTTTTTTATTACAAAAATGGCAAATTCGACGGGTAAAAACCACGCAGACCAGCGGAGAAAGGGACTCGCTTTCCTGGACGAGCTGCGGCAGTTTCACCACAGCAGAGGGTGAGGAAAATGGGGAGATGGAACGGGAGGGGGGGAGGCTTTTAAACCGACCAGATCCAACTTCCAGCCCCTTCCCTGAAGGACACGGCAGCCCCAGCGAGGGGAGAAAAGGGGGCAGAGCTGACAAGTTGTGGTGTTTTGTGTGTATCTCCTCTGGCAGGTCTCCTTTTAAGAAGATCCCCGTGGTGGGTGGGAAGGAGCTGGATCTTCACGCTCTCTACACCAGAGTCACCACTTTAGGCGGATTTGGGAAGGTGAGTGGAAGTTTTAATTTGGGTTTCCCTCCCACTAACCTCTTCCTAAAAGTCTTCTCTGACCCCCGGGGGCGGCGGGGGGAGCCGGGGTGGCCGGGAACCGTCCTATTTAAAGGCGGTTAGAGAAGGTGGGGGGGTGGAAGAAGGAAGCGAGCAGATAGGTTGGTGGCTTGGCCTTGTCGGCGGAGCGATGAAGGGGGATCGGGGGTACGGCGCACACCCCGCTCCTGCCTCCGCCGGAGCCCCTCGCCCCTGCCCCCCTTCCCCAGGAGGAGGTGACTGGGAAACAGAGGGCTCCGGTCGGCGGAAGGCAGTTTCTTTTGCTTGTGGTGGCAGCTCTGTGTGTTTCCCTCTCACAGAGGGAGAGGCAGAGAGGAGAGAGTCTGAGTGCAGTTTTAGTGCAACTCAAAATTAGCGGGCATGTTTAACATCGATAATCGGCACGGAGCATGGGCTAGGAAACGATCCTCGCAGCCGGGGGGGGCCGGGCGCTGCCCTCCGAGCCCTTCCCGGGGAAAAATAACAAAAGGGGCACCCAAGACGGTGTGTAATCAAATAGCCATCTTTAGGCTTCAAGGCTAGGGACAGAAATGTAGGCCTCAAAAGAAAGGCCTGCCTGTGTGTGTGTTTGTGTGCTGGGGGGACCCCCCGGGCCGGCTCCCCCGCGCCCCGCGGGCCAGGGGGCGCCCCCGCCACCGCTTCCCCGCAGCATTTTAAACTTCTTCGGGTTTTTAACGGACCGCGGCAGGATTTAAAAGGGGGCGACAGAGGGACTCCCGATTGGTTATTGTCCAGGCAGTAAAAACAAAAACAAACAAACCCCAAAACAATACGAACCCTCCCGGCCGCCCCCCCCACACACCTTCCCGGAAAAAATCATGCGTATATTAAAAAATAAATACAGCAAAATGCCGCTGAGAAACGGGATTATTCCCGAAGGGGGAACACCACCGACTGTAAGTAAAATATGTAGTCTTAAATCCCATATACATTCCTGTTTAGTTATTTTTATATTTTTATCTATTTACTTCATGGCAGCTTGTGGGTTTTTTGTGATGTTCGGTGTCAACGACATGTTTATGTGTACGTTGTGTATCTCGGCCTGTATGTGTTGTTTTTGACAGGTATCAGAGAAGAATCAGTGGGGAGAAATTGTAGAGGAGTTTAACTTTCCCAGAAGTTGTTCTAACGCTGCCTTCGCTTTAAAACAGTATTACTTGCGGTGAGTGCTATCAGGCTGTTGCAGTAGTATTTTTGAGTGTGGGATTATATTTGGGTTCCAGTGTCTGAATAAAAATAACCCTGCTCTTTAAAAATGCTGTAAAATAAAGCAGAAAGAACTTGTAATTCCTTACTGGTCTGGTGCAGAGATAAGTTAAATAGATAGGTTGTAGATATTTTATTTTGTATTTTACATCTAACTTTGTAGGGATCCCAAGTGTATAAACAGTATATATGTCAGAGCCATTTTTATTGATTGTTTTAGAATCACGGTACTAAAGGACTGTTACTGAGACCATGTTATTGTAGTTGCAGAAACTTAGCTTAATTTTTGGAGCACTGAAATGTGTTGATACATGTGAACTTGTTTACTGCTCAGTGGGGTCAGACATTGAATGGAAATATATCTGCAGGAAGGTGGACTGCTTTGGAGAAATTATATTGTTATCAATTACTAGCAGCCTACATTATATTTTAGAATATAAAGAGCTAACTGATTTTTCTGTTACTTGAAAAATACTAGATTTTTTCAGGTTTTAAAACAAGATTCCATTCCTTGAAATGATACAGGCTGTTTTGTGATGCAGATTATTTTTTAATGTAGCATGGAGTTCATACTGAGTATTTTAAATTACTGTGTGTGGTGCTGTTCAGTTACTAGATGGCCTTTAAAAAAAACAATTTTTATGAACTTTTGCTGATTATTCTTTGTGTGAAAGATTTTAAAATTATTTTGTGTATAATGTTTTAGGTGCTATATATAGACAAATATATTTCATTTAGAATAAAGTTTTATGTACACTGGTTAAGGAATGTAATTTTCTGAATTATATGAATGATATTTTTTCATTGCAGTTAATGATAATATAGATGTGCAGTATGTACAAAAGAAGTATGGGCTTTTGGTGATCTGTTTTGGTGATCTGAGTACACACAAGCTTTATCTGTCTCTAGTTTGGCCTTCTGAATTAGGAAATGTGGTAATTGTACAGGTGCACTTTCTATTGGTTGTCCTAGATTGACTTCCAGCTTGAAGCTGTAGAGTTCATAGCACAGTGGAGCACTTATTAAGTTACAGTGATGTCTGGAAAACCTTAGGCAGATATCTGTAGTTACTGAATTTTTCTTTTTTTGGTGCTGCTAGATGATTGCTTTTAAGATTCAGACAAAGAAAAGAAATTGCCATTGTTAATAGCTTCAGTAAAGTTTATGATTGGTAGCAGGCCTAGGGATGAAGTGGGAAGCTCCACTTTAGGATGTCCTTCTCTGACTTTTTTTTTTTTTTTAAACTCTCTACTACATAGCACTGAAGTACTGAGATAAGTGTTGCTGGAGATTTGTGAGATCATAGAAACCAGTTTTTTGCTTTTTGAGTTTTTCTTTTTGACTGTGTAGTCTAGTACTTGACTAGATTTTACATACAATTTGCAAAGTGATAGTTTTGGGGGGTTTTACCTTTTCCTTTGTATTTCCATATGTTATAAGTGCTTGAATGGCCTAACTTTTTGCAGTAGAAGGTTGTATGTCATTTGTATTTTCATCTGTATTTTGAAAGCATTTATATGCTGTGACAGTTAACACAACTAATTTAGCCTTCTAATGACTATTAATTTTTAATAGACTATTTTTTAATTTAGAATCAGACATACAAAAACGTTGTTATTAGCATGAGCATGCTAGTACTGACATCATTTAACATACAGTTGATGCAGATATATAAAAATGATAACATACAAATAATTGAAGGTTTTTTTATTTACTTGGAATTTAGAAAATTGATAAACAGTTAAGATGAAGAATCTTTTCAAAATGTCTTATTGTAATCTCTGTGATTAACTTAAGCCATTCTGAAATATACTGTCAAGGTTGTTGGTGTTGGAGTTGATTGGGTTTTAGTGTTTGGTGTTTTTTGGTTTGTTTTTTATTTTATTTTTTTTTCTAAATTATTGGTTTACTCACTGTTGCTTCTCACATAATGTGTGATGTGAACTGTTAGCCAGCTGAGTTCACCTCCTTTCATGTGCAGTAATAAGACTGTGTATACACACGTGTCACTCCTAGGTTAATGTTTGTTTGACTTTAACCCAGAAGGGTTTTTTTGGAGGTGGGCAGTTTGGCTATCAGGAAAGAAAAAATACTGTAATGATAAATATGTAAAAAGGGTCTTGTTTATTTGTGGTGAGATTTTCATGAACTGCTGAGCAATTTCCCTTGGGGGAAAAGAAAAAAAAAAAAGAAAACAACTCCTCTTGAGTCTCAAGTATGGCTATAATTTTGGCTTCACTATTGTAATGACTGCAAACAAAGTCAAACAAACTGAGGCCTACCAACTTTTATATATTTTTTTTATCCAGTTGTATGTTGTGAGTCCTATGAAGTGAGGGATCTGCATGGCAGATGGGACCCTGTTGAATTCAGAGGGATTCAGTGGTGTGCACCTACATGAATACATTTGCAGATTTGGATTTGTGATGATTTGTGATGAAAGTTGCTTCTTTCTATGAAACCTCTGGCATACCACGTTCACTGAGATAAGATCTTGAGCTGCGTGGACCACTTGCTCATTTTGCTATGTTACCTCTTGAGAATGCTGTCATTTTGACTTAAAATTACTATGTAAATAATCTAGAAAGTTGACTTACTTATGTGATGTCATTAGTCCTGTTGGCTTGATAAGACTTAATGTCCTGCAAGACAAGCATCAGGTTATGTTTTTGTAGGCAGTTGTGAAGTGTGTCCTTTTTGTTTAAGGAACTTTCTTCATTTTGACTCTTGTGGAATTTTGCTGTGTGTCTTCGGGAATGTATGTTAGGCTTCATTAAAGGTGTGAATTGTTTAAACTTCTGACAGAATTCTGATAGGTTTTATGATAGGTGATATTTGAATACATGATAGCCAATCCTGTCTACCCCTTCTCCCTTGCACTGCCCCTCTTTTCTCTCACTGGAAAAAGTTATTTATAATAGGGAAAGTCTGAAACATTCAGACCTTGTGCCTGTGTTGCTTTGAGCTGTCTGACAGGTGAAGTAATTTATGTACTGTGGTTCTTAGTGAACAGTCAAAAGCCACAGTGCTGATAACCGTTGATAGACTGTACTTGTTAATGTAGTTCTGTAAGTCTCTACAGCGTCAGAGAGTGTAATTCCCTTGGATGTAGTGCAAATTAGATGTTTCATCTCAATTGAGGTGAATTAGTAAAGCATTTTCTAAATGCTTCTCTAAAGATTATTTTATAATGTTAGTGAAAATCATATGGGGTAATAAATGTAAACATCAGTAATGTGGGTATGCTTTTACATTTTTGTTAGTTGGTAAACATGCAGTAGGTGAAAAGAAAGCTAAAATGAAATATAGCCTGTTTTTATGTTAGTGGTTGATTAGGTTACAGTCCTGCAAAGAACTGGGCTTATGTGACCTCATATGTTAGTATAAGGTTCTGTTGGTTTTCATGTGAGCATAAGCGATGCATCTGTTTCTGTTGTGGGTCTTAATCTGTTCTTGGTGAGAGACCTTGTAAACTAAATGTGTAAATGAAGTATGCCTAACTGAGTTAAAAGTCAGTTTGTTTTTAAAAAATATTTGTCTGCAGTAAGAGAAATTATGTGAAAGGACTAAGTGTAAGGTAAAGTAAGTTTAAGTCTCAGTTATGCAGAGAATATCTGAAAGGTGGGAAGCAGGTGTATATTGTAAGCTTCTGGTAAAGGCAGCAGAAATGAGTTAATATTAATTAAAGGTGAATAAGAATTTGCTGTTGCAAATATTGGGCAGGTAAGGGGAAGTCAAGGAGAGAGGAAGGAGGTCAGCTCATAAATGAGAAGTTTCATGAAGTTATAAAGGCAAGCCATTATGTTAAATTTCCTGAAGTTCCATATATAGTAGAATGAAAAAGGAGTTAAAAATCAGAACCATACGGAATAGTTACTGACAACAAACAGAGGTCATTCTT